CTGATGCTGATGCTGATGCTGATGCTTTCGGTAGTGTTGCCGTTGCGATTGCCTTTGATGTTGTTTTTCTGCTGATTGTTGTACCGTAACGTCATCATCTATACAGTCATCACAAGTTAATGTAAGTTGTTCGGTTGTTACTTTATCACTAGGTAGAGACATTTTCTTCTTTATTTATTTTTTTTTTTTTATTGTTGTATTTATTATTTAATTATTTATTTATTCATTTATTTAGTTATTTATTTCTTAATTACTTTAAATTAACACTAATTGTACGAGTACAGAGATTACGGAAGACGTTCGAAAAAGAAGAAGAGTATCAAATAAGAATTCTGTTCTGCAAATAGAAATAAGATAATGATAACGCATATGATCGATTATATACTATACACACACATATACATATACATATAATACATATAATACGTGTTTCTTAGCGCTGATAAATTTGTATTATTTTTATAGTTTTTAGTTTTTTTTTTTTCATTCTGTTTATTTAGTTATGTTTTTTTTTCTTTTTTGTTTCCTATGAACGGATTGATGAAAAAGCTTTTTCTAACTGAATTTATTTCATTTTAACTGATAATTGAAAATTTAATGTTAAAACGGAAGTATTTAAAACAAAATTGATAATTTTATTAAAAAACAAAAAAAAAAATAAAAAATAAAAAAAAAATTTTCTATATACAACAAGTATTGATTATAAAGAAATGTTCAATATTTCTCTTCTTAATGCCTGCAGTTCATGGCCTAATAATAGGCGAACAAAGAGAGATGTGTGCTATTATTAGCTTTCGCTTAATTGTCAAAAGAAAACATTATCGATCGAACTCTATATTAATCAGAGCGCCGAGATAATCTCTATTCCAGCACGTAGGCTATGTACTGAAACGATTCTTCTAAGTAAACAAGTGATGAAGAAATCATGAAAAGTGCTTTAACAATTCTCTGTCTCCTCGTTACCAGTGAATAGTGGGGGATGCACATGCGAAATACGCGTGCAGACTTTCTAAAATTATTTGAAATTTAGCTCAATTGCTGCTTCTGCTTGTCCGTCCATTGGTTCGTATACTGAGTGAATTCATTTCTTCATATTCATGTGGTAAAGAAGCAGAGAATGAAGATCATACAAATAAGTTTAGACCACATTTTGAATCCTATCAGTTACACGGGCGCAATTTTCAAGTTCACGCGTTTCTAAGGCCGTTCATTTATTTGTAAGAATTTCTGCAGCTGTGACGCTTCCATATGTAAATATTAGTCAGTAGTGTATGCCTTAGGTTTAACGCTAGATCTACGGACACCCCACAAATAGGAAGCTGAAATTTGGCATGAACATTTCATGATCGATTAAGAAATTGGCGCTTGAAAAATGGGCATGATCTGTTTAGAGACCCATTCACAATGCAGAAGAAACTAAACCGTTTTCAAAAAATGGCGATAATTTTTTCATATTTTCGTCGTCGACCTTCGAATACATGAAGACATTTTTCAAAACCCCATTATCCCATTATCCAAATAGTCCATGTCTATACTCATGTCTAAACCCAAAATGATTCCAATCGATGTAGTACTTAATACGTTCACAATTTACGATAAAATTCAATGTAATGTGCGTTCGAATAAATGAGAAATAAATGTGAAATAAGTTGAAATTAAATTTTTGTCGTTAACCAGCAAGCAACGTACAGTTAAGGCCAGCCTAGAAATATGTATATACATTTTAGGGCTAAACGTGGAACCGAAACAAACTGATGGGTATGACTCTCACAACATTATTTCGCTGAAGTGTGCATACAGCATAGCTTTCGAGAGCTTGTAATAAATCCTCCGCTTAACCTGAAGCTTGATTGTCCCTTCAGTACGGAAATTATAATATCTCAGAGAGATGGGAACGATGTGAACCTACGGTTGGACAGTATTTTGAATTATAAGCAATTTCGTATATTTCTTCCATACCTCCTTTTGAATCCATATGTTTTTCGTATGTTTTCATTCATAATTCATTGTTTACAATTCAAAAGGAGGTATGGACAAAACAATGCACCCTCTCATAAAAAAAGTAAAATGATTGTAACTCGTTTCTTCATATACAGATGCGATTATTTAGTGCCGATACGATTTCTTGCAGGAGTGGGTATGTGCATGTACAACTTTCTGCCAGGAGGGATGGACTTTATTCATACCCGACGTTTTACCGGGATGGACTTCACAATTTGTTGGAGGACTGATTTCATGCAGGCATGATTTCATATAAGCATATGTGATGTATAGTAGGTGCGTGTGGGTGCATGCAATATGAACGGCGTACACAGTTATCGGTACAACGATCTTGTAATTAATAACTTTATCTATTTTAGCCAAATGCTCCGGTCCAACCGCTCTAAGCAATACACAACTGATTCAACTATTGCAACTTATTAAACTATTGCTCGATAGAAAAAGCATTAAACTTGCTTTCGTCTTAATAAGGCGCCCTTTTGGCGTAATTCTTAGTAGATCACTTTAATAAGAATAATAACTGCGCTTGACAAGCAAAAAAAGGTGAGCAGTGCGAATACAACTCAAATGCTTTTCAAAATTAATTTTTATTATTGCGTTTTTTTTATTAAAAAGTTCTAAGAACGAAATTGATTTTTTACTAAAAACGTAATGAATCGAAAAAGTTAGGTAAAGGTCAGCTTTAGTAGAAACCTTTTCACCTTCTTTCTAAAGCAAGTACGAATCAATTAAAACACAAAAAGTGTTAACTATAAATAACTAACACTTGTCAGTTAAAAAATTTTTTTTTTATATTTTCTAAATAAATATTTTTTCATTATTTTTACTTTTGTTTTTTTTTTCATTTTTTAGTTACATTTCACGGTTTATTTGCTTTTAATTATAAGACACTTTGTTTACAAAACTGTTATTGTTTTAGTATGAACAAAACAAACCAAACCAAAAAAAATAAAAATAAAAAACAAAATACTAATAAAAATATATTGTTATGATAAATGCATTCGATAACTCTAAATGGCTTTCAAACAAGATAAGACAGGTTAAAGACATTTGTCAAAATCATTTATTTTTTTCGCTTTCGTTTCTAGGAAAAAGTAGAATAACTCTTTTTCACACCCTATAACGAGAAAGATTATTTTTTCCTTGAAAAATGCGAAAAAAAGTAATTTGTGGATAATGGCTCAGATCGACACAAAAAAAAAAAAAAACGTGCAAAATATTTCGCTGTTAATGGATTGGAGCTAAATGTTTGAATTTTCTATTTCAGACGACCCTGGATAAATATCTGCAATTAATAAATAAAATAAATGCTCATACAAGTGCGACTTTTTGTGTGCGATATTTCGTAATATGCGATAAATTAATGTTTTAAGAGATATTTAATTCCAATTCCATTGACTCTGATTGGCATTTTGTCTAAAGTTTGATTTGCCCAATATGCTGGTCACCATTTATGTCGTCGTATATACGATCGGGGGAACGATGCTATGATATAAAGATCTTTATTAAATTTTAAAACGTTAACCCTTCTCTTTCGATATTCATTTCTATGCAGATGTAATGAATACATTTTTGATATATATATGTATATATACTTCGGTTGCTAGCGCATCAACGAAGAATATATCTTTATAATTCAGACAGTAGGTGACGTCGCTAGATTCAGTTAGTTTTTTTTGTTCCCTACATCAGGTATGATACAAAATCATATAAGTTTGTGTGTATGTTTGCAACACCCAGAAAGGCTTAAGAAAGACACACTTCTTATTACGCCAATCGATTCAGAATCAGAACCTTTTTTGTGGATCGATGTAAGCTAGTCTGTCCGTCTGTCTTTCTGTCTGTCTTATTTTCTAGTCCTCAGCTTGCAATTTTCGAAATATTTTGATAAAATTTAGTACACTGACGTGTTTCGATCCTAGGACAAATGCTACCGAAAATAGTTCAGACCGGATCACTTTTTCGACCATTGCCCATATAACTTCTTATCTTAAAAAGCCGATTATGGATAACTGTAGGGTGACGTGTTTTGATTTCTATTCAGTTAGAACGCGTTTATGCGGTCCCTGTTGTAGCACTTGAGTATCATTTATGTCGCGGAAAACAGCGGTCGAAGAAATACCATTGGAAAGCAGATTTAATCAGTAGGCGCCATGGACACCATCTTGGTAGTATATATGGAAAATTCCTATGGACATGTTGATGAGGGAGATGTGCATGAATCCTTTTCCTATGAATACTTGCAGCCCGTTTTTTAATGATAAGAAAATTTTAAAGATACCCCACACCGGATGTTCCTGAACGAAAACGAGGGACACATCGTGGAAAACGTAAAGTAAAACCGCATCAGCAATAACAGTTCAGCTAATAGTGGTTATGCTTGACTTGAGTTAAAATGTTCTTGCTGATGTTTCGTGTAAAAAAGCATACGAAAAACGAATAAATAACATTCGGCAGACATAGTTATATTTTATTAGCACTGAAGAGAAAGAGGCCAGCTTGCAAGGTATGCCAACGAAAAGCTTTTTCGGCAACCGACAATACACTTCACCCATCCAATTGGTCTACAGTTTTGAACGTATTTTTAGAAGCAAGTCTGCTTATTGAGCAAAGTTGTAAAAAATAGTGTGAAGATTACAAAATTCTCCGAACTTTTCTCATCTCTCAATTTTCGGAAGCTTATCAGTTGGAAATCTCTAGAAAATCTTTTCTACCCTTTCTTCTGAATATTTAACAAGGAAACATTTTCTCGTTGTTTACTTTTTATTTTAAATCTTAGAATTTTTCTTTTCTATTTTATTCACTTGTTTTTTTTAATTTTTAAAGATTTATTTAAATACAATTACAAATAATATGAGTAACGCCATCTCTTCTTTTTTTTTTTAGTTTTTTAATTTAATATTTGCAAGTTTTTTCGTTTATATGTATGTTTTCAGATACGTACACTTGAAATACTTAAAATTGCTTTAAGTTAACGAATTCAGAAGATTAGGAAAATAAGAAGAAAAAAATTTTTTTTTTTAATTCAATTTTCCTTTAAAGAATTTTCTTCTTTTCTTTATCACTTCATTTATTTAGAATTATTATTGAAATTATAATAAATTTTATTGCTTTTTGTCACATTGCAGAGAGCTACGAGCTTCAGTGATAAGGTAACGACAACTGACAATTGAAATTTTGTAGTTCATATAGATTCGGGCTGCTTTCCGATTAGCATTTAAAACTAATAATAAAATGGAAAAAAAAAGTTGAGCTCGTCAAAAAATATCAAGACATAAAACAACAACAATGATAATAATAATAATAATCATAAATAAGCGAATTGAAACGAAACCCTAGGAGAACTTTAATACACATATTATATAAAATATGTGTTTGTGTGCGTGTTCCACAAAGTAACGCAATCCTTATCAGCACTGGAAAAAATTATTAGCAAATTGTATATAAGAAAATATGATTTCGCGTAAAGTTTCGCATCTAGTGTTTATTTATATCATGCAATATTTCTGTCGCTAAGAGTATATAATAATAGCATTGAAGTACGTCTGCCACTCAGCCCAATTGAAGTGGACACAAATGAACAGCAGGACGTAACAGCATTTCTACTTACTTGATCCCTCCAAAACCGCATCCCTTCATTGATATTTTGGATGCCTTCTGTCCTTCTGTCTACTGGTCCCGGCACATGCGGTCTCACGGGAAATGGCAATGGAAAAACTACCGTGCGCTTCACTTTACGCTTAGGTTCGTTTCATATTTATATGGCAGGGATATCTCTTTTACTTTTATGAACTATTAATTAATGTACAGTATTTCCATGGTAGCTTTGCTACAGAGTCATGATACTCTGTTCAGCTTTTTCCATTCACATTAGAATTCACTTTGTGGCCGCAATTCATACACAATTCAATCGAATCAAAATCCATATACATATATATCAAAATATCAGGCCCTTTTACATATATATATACAATATGTCAGAAAGATAATTAAATGTTTTCAAATTATGGAAGACTAATCAATTGTAATATGGCCCATCGTTGAGGGCCAGTGTCTCCTAAACATGACTAAACACGATAATGGCCGGAAAAAAGATGCCGCCTGGGAGGTGTAGATCCTACGTTTTTACCTGTATGTATGCCCCACCATATATATGGAAATTGAGTACGTATTTGATAACGATGATGATGAATGAAAGCTTAATTAATTTGAAATATGGTCTTCCTGTCATATTCGCCTAAACCTTTGTATTTCGCCATTTTTCACACTTCAGTCAACTGGTCTGCTAACAATAATGAAAACCTAGGGCGACACATTGGTTACCGATGGTACCAGCTTGTTTGTTTCAAACGTAAATTTCTGGACTAAAATTTGTTTTGTATTATTTATTATCATACAAGCGCACTTCACAGACGATTGTTAATATAAACAATAAACAAGTAATGAAAACTGGCTCCAGATATCTAAAGCATTTGTAACGACTCTTTATAGTGCACGAATAGTGCAAAATACTCTGCATCAAGAAACACAATAGCAACAGACCTTGTTATTTGCATTCCGCTTGGTGTAGCGGATTTAAATTACCAGAGTAAAGTCCCCAGGTAGAAATTTGTTGCTCCCATATGTTTTGCTCAATTTCTTTGTCTATAGAGCAATTTCTTTCTAAATTGCCGGCAAAGATATTTCTTGCTTTTTTAAAAAAAGTTGAAGAATCAGTGTCGTTAAGTCGTCTTTATATTTCAGTTAAATAATTTGGCAGGCGACTAATAATAAAATTGCATGTTACAGATATTTCCGTTATGCTACATATCTTATAGGAAACTAACAAAGAACTATTTTCTCGCACGCGAACTTTAATATTAATTGAGGCTCACTTCCTCCATCCTCCTTATTTAAAAAGGGACAAATAATTTATTGGGGAATATATTTTCAAAAAGGTGTGTACATTATTGTTTAAAGCATTAAAAAAAAAAAGCCATATACTTGTGAAAACTGTTCTGCCGCCTTTTTTTCACAGCTCACCCTCATATCATTATTCTATAGATAGCAGTTTTTTATCTCTTGTAAAAAAACAAGAAATAAAACTAGGAAAGCACTTAAAATATTGCTCAATATTTATCAAATGGTTCGATTTTTTTCACTATTAAAAAAAAAAAATGAAAGAAAAACAAACATTACTTTAAGTAAACGCATTTCATTTCTTCAAAAAATTGATTATACGTTAAAGTTAACTATTAAAAAATATTCTACGCACTTGCCTAGAGAATGCTATAACGAGGCTACGACTAAACTTTAAAATTAATGTATCAGTGACTAAAGATGCTAAAGATATGATCAGTTCGATACACATAATCGTGGCAAGGACGCGAAGGTGACTGTACTCGGAAAAAAGACTTTTTGAATTGCATAAACCATTTGAAGCTGAAGAGAGAAAAAAGTTTTTCAATATAAATTTTGATTATTTAAAGGATAATTTAAAACGAGGGTTGAAAAAAGATGTTACTCTTTAAGATTTTTGCTGAACAAGACGGAGATTATGAAGATTCTTGCGCTTCATAATTTACGTTGAAAAGTAAAACTTTAAGTGTTTTTCCAATTTGTTTAATACTTTTTGTTTTTTTGTTGAATTGATTTTAGTTATATTTTTTCACATTTTTTTTCAGTGTAAATAAATTTATTGATATATTTGTCAAACGGGCCAATTACCGAAATGTATACTAATTCATTAAAGAGATATGCAGCAGAGTACGCAACTAATATTTTGAATATTGAAATTTATTGAAAAACATTACAAGCTGAATATTTTGTAATTCAAAATCGATTTCTTGTAGATTGCGCCTATGACGGATCTCATTACTATTCGCGCTAAGCTCATTTATATGGAAATTTTATTTAATTTAAATATCTCGACTATTATTTTAGGCAGAACTAAAAAGTTTTGGGTTGTGCGTTGCAAACTTTAAGTTTAAGTTTTTAAGTTATGAATTGTTATTTAGCAAAATTTTTATAGTCAAGATGTTCTTCAATCATTATTAAAATAGTATAAAATTGAAAAAAAAGAATGTGTGGAAATTATCGATAGTGAAAGAAAGCACTCCTTAAACGGAGTGGAATAAATTCGACATCCGAAAAAGGAGAAATTACTCTTTAGAACCAGCTATTCTCAAAAATAATTCACTTAACCGCGACAGGGAGTGGGGAGTGTAAAACAACACATATGATTTCTGGATAATACCAACCTTCAAAGAATAGGTCTGAAAATGTCACGACATTCTGACCAACTACAAATTACAGATATTTAAGTGACACTATCTTTGTAATTTTCAGAACAATGCAAAAATGTGAATTTCGATTGTTCATCAAACGTTGTTTTTTGCTGAGGAACAAGTAAGAGCACTATAGTGGGCCACAGCCTGCCACTATATGCCACCGTACCCCACTTCGCAAAGTATATAGTTGTTCGTATAACGACCTTTCAAAATAAGGTGTTATGTGCGAACTGATCGAAAAAGTTGTCTGATCCGAGTGATTTTCAATAGGTTTCGTTCTTGAAACCAAAGGCGTCAATGTACCAAATTTCATAAAAGCATCTCAAAAATTGAAACCTGTAATAATGTGGACAGACCGATAGTCAAGTTTACATCGATTTAGAAAGTGATCCCGAATCGATCGGTATAATAAAAGATGGATCTATGTCAAGCCCTTCTGGATGTTGCATACATGCGCACAAACTTAATACATCCTTCTACCACAAGTGGTATAGGGCATAAATACATGTTCTTAATCATCATTAGACTGAAAGATGCTATGGCGACTCTTGTCTGTCGAAAAGATAAACTTGTGGGTGTTTTTCTAATTTCAAACAAAGCCATATGGAGACCTGCTGAGCGCTTGTGGCCACACGAACTCAGTACTGGTTCCAAAAAATATAAAATAACTTCACAAAATCTTTTTGGAAGACCGAAAAATGAAGTTGTGTGCGATAGCTAAACTCCCTATGATGTCAGAACGCAGTGCATTTACTATTTTGCCTGAACTTTTCTCCATGAGAAAGCTCTGTGTGGAATGCGTGCTAAGGAGATTGCGTTGGAATGAATGAATCCCTCTTGAAGAAGATGATGTCAAACAATAAAATCGAATTTTGCTTAAAACTTGTTGTTATATTAGTGATGCTATGAATTTATTGATTGATGCTTTATATGACAATACAAGGCATAAATTGAATTAATTGGACTTGCGTATAACAATCACAAAAAAATGTCCTCTTCGAACGCCAAAATTCTTATAACGAAACGTGTAACGCCTTTAGAGATTCCTTTTGGCCAAGTTCGTATCGGCATTCTTAGCATTAGTCAGTTATAGACAGACATCTTTAGTCGGTCGAGGAGGCTTAGGGGTCATTTCATGTATTTAGAATTCATTGCAAATCGTCGAACTTGTCCTTCTACTGCGCTCGAGTAGGAAAACCCGAAAGAATTCTGCTGCAACTGCGAAACTGACTCTTGAGGGCCATCAGACAACCACGATAGCACCGTTGCCTTAGTTAAGACAAGTCAGACAAAAACGAATTGTATTTATACTGATTAACCGGTGCTGGAAAAAACTCCCTTCGACGTCAATAAGTCCAAATGTGCCTTCACCTGGCCCAAATAGTATAATAGTACTATAACTTGTCCTATTAGGCAACATGGCGTTCACTTACGCTCAACAATGACTCAGCTTTACACGGCCGGTTGTATGGAGAGATGAATAGAACCTTAGCGTATGAAGTATCGTTTCAACTCCGAGAGTCAGTCAATAAGTAGCGGCGCCAGTAGAGTGTGATGGTTTTTGAGAAAGTCCGGCTTATCTTAGAAGACGTTTTACATAGACAAGCAAATGCAGAAATAAGGGACGGAATAAAGCTTGATATTGTTTTGAACTTTTTTTCACTTGTTATCGCATCACGTACAGATCTTAAGTTTAAGATGAATATGCAAAGACATAACTTTTACTAAGGATTAATGTGCAGTACTCACTCATGTCTCCTTGCGTACTACTTAAGAGTAGAGTATTGAATAGTTGGCCTATTACTAATTAGAGTGCGCTCTCACACATTTAATGTTTGCTATTATTTTACTCACAGTATACATACAAAATAACTACAATTGAATCCCTAAAATACGTAAATGGATCTACACGCAAGCTAAGTGATTGCATGGGTTTTTTGTATCATTCAAGAAATTTCAAGATTAATCCATTAATACTTTTCTTCTTTTCGTTTTTTTTTTTGTATTCTTCGAAAATTCCTAATCATAACCGCTTACGGACACATAGGCACTTACGCTTTTCACACTGTTATTATTATCTGCCATATAAGTACGAATTGTTACGTACATGTATGTGTAGTATATGTATATTAGAAGGGGTTTCTTTTTTCATTCTTAATTGATGCAATACACACTTTTATGCGATAGCCTTTGTTGAACTTTATGGAAAAGTAATGAGCTCAATAGAGAAAGAATAAAAAAAATTTTATTTTGAACTGATAATTAAACCACATAAGTGATTTTTATTTTCGTTATACATAATTTTACAATCTTTACGGTATTGCGTAAAATTTAATTTAATTTCTCATGTTTTCCCTGGCTTTGTACATGTGTGTTTGTCGCATGTATGCGAGGGAATTCTTCTTTCTCTTTTTTATTATCGTTGCCAAGCTATTAAAATCGCTATATGCATTAATTTATGTATTATGCTGTATGGCTGCCTGTATGGGATCATGGAAAGCGGACCAAGAATATCGTTTAAATTTTTATCACATTTTATTTCATTTTGTGTTCCACATTCCATACTTGTTTTCCAATTCTGCTAAAATCCTTTTGAAGGGGTATTCTTTGAGCTCTGACCTTCAACGCACGAGATAATTTTGTCTTTTACCCTCCACATCTTGTAGAAATCGTGTGGCAATGTATATGCAATGAATTGAGATAAATCGCATCGATTCGTAATAAGTTTTTGAAATCGATCCAAGTCTGTATGCACAGACTGTTATATTATGATGGAATTTTTGTTGCGCTGACATCCCTTGATCCAAGTGCACTGACCTATTTTGAAATCCTGTTGGGCCATTCAGATCTCTAATTAACGCCGCATTTTGGAAAACACTGCAATTGCTGATAAAACTTATCGAATGCTAGAGAATTTTTAGAGGACACAGAATTTGTGGCAAGGGTTTAACGTGGATTCCTGCCTGTAAGGCTTAACCCCACGGTGGCCCAAACCACTTTTTAAGCGTACTACGCCCCCTGGCGAGTTAGACAATCCCCACAGAGTAGGGGCCTAAACAGCATCAGAGTCCAGATCAGTTTATTGTGTATGGAACAATAAACCCCACTCTGGTGAGTGGCGAGGGCCTAGCTGCACTCATTGTTCCATTTTAGCTAGGAACTCGCCAACCACAACCACCACGAGTACTCCCCGAAGGGCCGCACCCAGTAGTCAGGACTCACCAATTGATCAACTGACTGCTTCCGCCATAAGGCTTCCACTGTGCTTGTTGATCAATTACCACCTTTACCCGCAGGCATTCATGACATGTGTTCAAAAGTAAAAATAGGTAAAAGGGGAGAACTTATTCGTCATACCCCTTTTCCATTCTTGCATGTATTAATTAATTTACCAGACATTTTCTTTCATTCGGCCAAAGGGAAAGCCGTCCATCAATTCCTTTTTGCATGTATTAATTCATTTACCAGACATTTTCTTTTATTCGGCCAGAGGGAAAGCCGTCCGTCAATTCCTTTAGCATAAATAGTGTAATTAATTTATTTATTTGTTACGACTTAAGAACAAGTCCATCATATACCCGCAGGCATACGTGGCTTAGTGAGCGAGCTTCCTGACCCCCGTGGCTCCCAGTTTATTTTGCAAAGCCTTATGGCACACTTTGGGCGTTTGTTAAAAACAACCGTACTTGCTTCGGATCCTCCATACTTTCCTGGTAGCTAACACCAATGAACTACTTTTCTTCAAGATATATAGGTCTCGGGTATTGCACTGAACATGGTAGACTAGTCTAATGCACTCTACCATGCACTCGCTAGATTACTACCTTCATTGTACTTCAAACCATTCAGTGTATTTCCTTGGTAGTAACTAGCTATTGAGTAAGAGCTCTTCTTCCAGCCAACCCCTCCACCATCTATCAGAAACTCGTCGCCGAGTTAGCAGGACACAGGAGGGTAGATAACGAGAACGATTTAAGCCGTTCAGCAATTCTTGTTTTGCAGATTAATGGAGAAATTAGCAAATAATGAGAGGAGCCGAACATCCGAAACGAAAAAGATTTAATCATTTGAGCGAGCATAAACCATTTTTCTGGCAAAATGCTCTCTGCTAATCGTCTGGCGCATAAGACCACTTTTTTTTTACGATACCGGCAAGTAAGTAAGGCATTGGATAGTCCTTTTTCTCCATTTTATTATTTTTGGGAAATTTCATTTTCTACAGAATAAGGCAGACTCAAACACACACCTGCTTTTCGCAAAAGTACCATAAGCGAGGAAGAGAGGAAAAAAGGTTTTTCGTAATTTGAAGAATACCAGAAAAAGAATTTTTTGCAGAATCTTCCTCGCTAAGAAAAAATCTGCATATCACCTCTATATTTTTGCTTTGATTGTTACATCGAAATGTAGTGAGATGTGATCTGAACCGTTTTAATTTGAAGTTTCGCAAGTCTTTGAAAAATATATGTTTAAAGTATGCGATCAAAATCTATATGAAGTTTTTTTCTCCCTGCGGATTTAGTTTTGGCATACGATGTCGGTTTTCAAGCTTTATGTATGGCGGTCATGGGCTTGGCAACAAATAAAACGAGATAAATAAGCTCAGAATATCAAGCGAATAAATATAATAAAGTTTTCACATTTCTCCGAATCCGTATTTATAAGACGCACAATACGCACTTGGGGCACCATAAGCTACATACATAATGTATATTAGTAGCCAACTACATATACTATATAAGTCAAACTCGCACACTGCAGCAAAAAAATTTTGTTGGCAAATTTTAGCGAAAGTGGATTAACACAAAAATGCTTGTTTGATTTTTGATTGCATATATCTTAAGCTATCAAAAACAGGAAACAAAATTTCAATTCATTGTTTTTAAATTAAATCAGACTAAAAGAACTTCAACTAGTAAAAAAAATGTTGCCCAAGTCAAAGTTAAACAGACGGCGTAAAAGATTTGTTTTCTCACTTAGTTTATCTTATAAATTAAATCAGATCAAATTAATATTTTATAAGTGACCTTTTGTTCTTTGTAATCGTTTTAAGCCAGTTTAAAATATATTTAATATATATTTGATTAATTTTTGCAACAGTCAGGTGTATTTACTTCCATTCTTGCTTCAAGAGCTTTTTTAACTCTCATTCGCTGGAACCCCTGCATTACTGAACCTTTTTATTGAGATAATCCCACAGATGCTCTATTGAATTTATGCCAGGTTTCCAAGTGGGTTGTTGTCCAGCAGCCTGGTCCGCCATCATTAAGATTCAGTTCGTCCACACTTTTTTGCAAATTTTCTTTTGGCTTATCTTACTACACATTTCGGTCCATAATCTCATCAATAAAGGACGAAGATCCAGGTCCTCCTGCAGAAAATGATCACCCCCATGTTTTACGGTCGACCTTGTTATTCAAAGAAGCCGTTTTATGAAGCACATTTCTGATTGCTGATACCCAAGTTGCTTCCAATTATGGACCTAAGTTTAGGTACACTTAAAAAGGGAGTCGTTTTTATTTTTCTTACATGAAAACGTTCTTCTGGTTCAGCAACATTGACTTAATGTTTTTGAGGCGGATGTAGCTGCTGTACAACATCCCCAACGACTGGAAATACTATCTCAGAACCCTGTCTTAAATCCGATAAAAAATATATAATATGTGTTGACCCATTGAAACCCTTTTAGTGCGATTTTATTTCAAATCAATCAATTTGAAATTTGTTTCTTGTTTTTCATAGCTTAATAAATATATTGTGCAGTTAAAATCAAATAGCAAGCTTATTACTTTCCCTTCGCTGGATTTACCAATAAAATTTATTTACTCAAGTGTCCGATTCTGGACTGTATGCGAACTTTGAAGAAATTTAAACCCTCTTTTGTGTAGCGCAACAAATTATTCACACAACACAGTGAATCAAAAACAATAAAACAAACAAAAACAACAACCTATACCTGCCCATCATGAATCATCTGTTGTTAGTTTGGTCAATTTTAGAAGAAGAAGAAAACTGTTATTTTTTATTAAACTAAATGCAAATCTAAGAATCCACATGCAATGAAATGAAACAATACATAGTTCAATTTAATCTCACGCACACCCTGTTTTCACGCATTGTAGGTTAATTCCCGTTTTTTTTCTTTCTGATTTAAAAACGACTCTGTACTTATTAAAAAAAAAATAACAGCACTTGCAGCATTGTACAATCATTAACGAAAAAGCCACAAAGTAAAGTAATAACTGCGCAGAATTTTAATGAAGAAAATTAATATTTCTTGTTTTCAATGAAAAAGCTTTGTTATATTTGGATATAGAACTTATTGTGTGTTTGCAAAAATTAAAAAAGGAACTTCAAAACCAATAAAACGTGTATAAAAACTTTTCTAATAAACTAATCAACAAATGTGCACTAAACGTCCTTGAAGAATCCCCATTTTTTTTTCGACAAATTTAGAGATAAAACTACATAAAAGAAAAACGAGATAAAGTCACGACTTTCAAGTAATACGATAAACAACAACAACGTTTGTTTGATATTAACGTTTCATTAACTTTTTGAAGGGGAATCAAATATCTGATAAAAAAAACAAACACCTGAACAGTTAAACTTTTGTTCTTCGTTTATAATTTATATTGCAATTGCCTGCGCATTGCTTACATCATCCGTTGACCTAAAATATTACTTATTGTTTCAACCAATGTTTACAGTGATTAAATACAACAATGTTTTCGCTAAAAAAAACGGAATGAAAATGGTCGAATCCTTCTACTATCGGAACCCGCTAATTTTTTTACGTGGGACCGCTATAAATAATAGAGCTAATCAGAGAGTACACCAACAACAATCGATTAATTTACAAAATGCCTTCTGGTTCGTCACCCGATATATAAATAAAGGAGATATTTTTGAAAGCGGTAAAAACATAGTTGAGTTTAAATTCAATTTACACAATAACAACAAAGATAGAAAGAGCATTTCCTTAAAATACAAAGCATTCGCTCAACGTACTTTCCATAGATTTTTATACAAAGCCAGAACTGATAACGTTTTTCACAGAGAACGCGATTTACCTGCAATATCAACTGTTTGATTTACCTGTACAACATGCAGCAACAAAAACAGCAACCAAACTTTTATACCTGCCCATTAAAGCCAACAACAACAACTGCTCAATACTATCATCGTATAATAAATAGTCCATTCAACTATCAACGGAAACATCATCAAGGCGGAAAAGACATTATGTCTTCGGTAGCGGATGGTATGGGTTCAGACCCTATGGAAGCTGCAGCCGTAGTGGTTAATAGTATTATTTATGCCAAACCATCATATTGCAGTATCGTTGTAGACATTAGTGGATCTTCGGCGTCAAATAAGTCGATAGGAGTTAACTGCCAACAAATGTTAGGTCCAAATAAAAGCAAATTTTGGTCGTTAAACGAGCGAGATCAAGACGCCGAATTGTATATGATGTCTACAACCATGAATGGTGCTATACAACATAAAATTTCAGAGTTCTGCGGCAATCTATTGTCTATGGGTTTATTTGACGCCATCGAAAGCGAGGATGAATCCGAAGACGGCAGCGAAGAGAGCGACTGTTGTGACGATTTTATTGATGCTGATGATGATGACAGTTTAATAGAATTTGTATATGATGATGAAAATGACAATGAACCAGAAAGCGATTTTAAGGCAAAGGATAAAGCCAAAGATGAAAGTAGTGGCGACGATGAATGCGACGGCAGTAATGGCGCTTCAGTTGTATTTGATAGTGGTTTGGATGAAGTTGACTTTATAGACAAAAGCAGCAGTTTAGAAAGTCTAAAGCAAAGTGTGTCTAGTAGTGACAAGCCCAAAAAGGTTTTTGATCATTTGTCTTCTTTTTAATAAGTTTTATTTACCGCTCTCCTTGTACTTTTCTAGGTCCGTTTCGATACTAAACCTATTGTTCACGTGATGCACGCCTGGGATTATGCTTATCGAGCGGCGCGCAAGAGCGAATGGCAAATCATTTTGCAAGACCGCGCTCACTTTAAGTCACGCATACAACGTGTAGCCAATGAGTTGAACCCTATCTTAAGTATTGAACACCGTCAAAAAATTTATGAAACACGTTTTGCAAATCTGTATAAAGAAGAATCGTTATCGCCTATCAGTAAATCCATAAAACAACAAACAGAATGTTGCGATAGAAATAGTAAAAAAAATAGTCGGCAAAAGTTTTACAAAAAACCCAAGGAGTTACTGCGTCCGCTGGTAAAATGTAAATCACGCAAAAAACTAAAAATATTAATAGATTATTTTTATATATTTTAAAGTTTGTCAATAACTGATTTGTTTTTTTTTTTACTTAAGTGTAAGTAAACTAAGGCTGGTTAAAAAGTTTGTTTTGTTTCCACGTTTATAGAGAAGAGATTTTTTTATTTTATTAAAGTGAGTATAGTTGGCCTTGTCATAATCGTTTAAATAAATATTAAGTTTATATTTCATAGCAAAGATTATGTGTTTTATTTTTAATTTCTAAATTCTTAATTCGTCGTTTGCAAACGTCTTTGGCTTCAAACAAATCGAACAAATCTGTTATAGCATAATTCACCTTTATTTTCTATTTTTAAAGCAATATTGTTTGCCCTGTTATTAGAGGTCAGAGACGAAATTGGTTTGTTTACATTTTTGTTTAGAATAAACGGAGAAATTTTTATAATTCAATTCTTTTAAACAAACCGGAAAAGGGTAAAAGAAATATTTTCATAAATAATTTGTCTAGAGAATATGGAAACAATCTGCCAAGAGTTTACTGAAAATTGTCCCATTTTCAAGGAATGCGTAAGTCTTCAGATAAAGTGCTCGAATATCTTGTCTTACATTTCGTAAAACTCTAATTTGTTTTAGATGGAGGACCCGGAGATTCATTCTCTAGACTCGGACACAATTGATTATGTTTACGAAATTTTATGGCTGGAATTAAGTGCATTTGTACGCAATAAACTAGCAACAAAATTTTGGTCGCATTTCCAATATAATGAAAATTGTGCCCAATATTCCCCCGAATTTAAGGATTTTAAGGATTTAGAAGTGGATGTGCCTAGACAATTAGAATTGTTTGAGAACTTTGTGAATGCCGTCAAAGGGTTAGACGGTTATTACCAATTTCTTCAACAAACAATGCACAAATTGGATGAAATCTCTCATAAAGACTTTAGCAAGTCAACGGAACGTTTAAACGAACTTGTACGTGGAATCCTGTTAGCTCAACTACCCACCCATTTTAATAGAGTGGTATATGCCTTTTATAGCATTGCTTTTCGCGTGTCGTTTCAATTAAGAAAAAGTTTAACAAAAGTAAAAAAAATTTTAAGCTTTGGTAGGAAGACAACTCTTTTATTTCCTTTAATTTATTTTACGTTTCTGGTTTTCCGTTTTTTTTAGAAACTGAAGTAATAAAAGAAAATGGTAGTTTATGCAAGGGTTGTAATCAAATAACTAATAAATGCAAGTGTCAAGAACTGTTGATGACCATCAATCGCGTCAACGAGAAACTACTACAATTGGAATTATTAGATCGTTTGGCCGGTCAGTGTATGACCAGTTTGGTGCAATTGCATATTAAAGAACATATTAAAGACACATGTTATGGTATCTTCGATAGAAGCCATATAAAGTCGTTATTTATGGTCTGTTGAATATTAACACTTAAGTCATAATATTTTGTTATTCCTAACTTTTTAGTGGCTAGAGGATGTAATAATTACTTGGCTGAGGGATATATTCCACGTGGATCCCTTGGATGAATCTGTTGAGAAAATGGAATGCGCTGATACGAAGACTGCTAGTGCCATACAAGGCCTTAAAGTAAAACTTACATTCTTTGTATACGAAAATTTTGCTTTAAGCATCATAGAGCAATTCTTTAGTATCATTATAGGTAAGTAAGGTAATTCGAACCACCTGTTGATTGTTCACAGCTGCAATTAAATTTGGTAACTTCTGAGAGTAATTGAAAGAGCAAGTCTGAAATTGGTCACATCTGAGAATAATTGAAAAAGTAAGTCTGTATTTGCTTACAAGTGAGAATATGAAATATGGTTCGGTTGCTTCGAAAATTAAAGGTTCGATTTGACGATTGTTCATTTTTCGCGCAGGATTTCAAACACTTTTTTTGTGATATTTTATTAAATTTTTTATTTTAAACATTTTTTGGTCAAATAAAATTATCAAATATAAAAATTGTTCATTATATATCATATCATCCGTTAGGGCTTTCGTCTTTAAGATTTCAGGAAAAGCAAAAGCTTTTATTCTGTTGTGATACGCCACAAACTTTTGCACAGGGAATGAGATGTATTCACCTTAGGGTGAATATACTCTGGGCAAATGGTCAGCATGGATGATTTGTAGGTCAGAAATTTAAACGGTCGTAGTTAGTCTCTCTGATAAACTTATTAATCTACCTTCTCTGCAGATCGTACATATATTTAAAAAAAAATTTGGAAGACATGGAATATTCGCAAACAGCTTAACAGCCGGTGAAGAAGTTCGTTGCGCTATATTCTTATCTTAGTTAATAAATAAAAATCCAACTGTTGCCATATAGACCTTATTTCATCTTTCTTTGCTGTAAGCAAAGCTATCCTAAAAATCGACCGATCCACAGCTAAAGCATTCGAAAACTGTGACCTACAGTCTGAATACGAAAATAGAGATATGCTTGAACTGATTCAAAAAGCCATTGGTAATAATAAAAAATTTATAGGTGTTACGTACTCTAAACTTTATATATCATTTGCACAAGTGATGTAGGACGTAAATAAATATTGACAGTACAATCACTAGCAATGCCTTACTAATATATAATGTGATTGCAAGTGAAAATTTCCTACTTGAACACACAATTGTGTCCAATCAAAAAGTGTGTCGTCAAAAAGTCACATCGTCTAATTTATGATTGTGGGTAAAATCGTATGGCAAGACTTATAACTTACGATGATTAATGCAGGACGAAAATATTATTCAATATCGCTTTTTTTGTTTTTTTTTCTTTTAGATTTTCCCGACTCGGTTCCGGCCATTGATGATTTGAAAATCTGCATGGAAAAGATTAACCTACGATCTCAAATAATTAAAAGTCTGAAGACATCATTGGAAGCACGAATTTTACATCCTGGGGTGAATACTATGGACATTTTAACCGGTTATGTGGCGGCCATTAAGGCTATACGTTATCTCGACAATAGCGGAGTCATTTTAGAGATTGTTACCGGTCCCATTAAAGAATATTTGCGTAAACGAAATGACACAGTACGTTGTGTGGTCACAAGTTTGACCGAAGAAGGACCAACCGATCTCTCGGAAGAATTGGCCAAAGGTGAAAACACTAAAGATGCTGTTGTCTCCAAAACTAGCGATGATTTAGCTGACTGGGAAAATTGGCAACCCGATCCCATTGGTTTGGAAAATTCTTCGCAACCCCCTGTTGTGAAAATGGTGCGGTCGGCCGATATAATTTCTATGGTTGTGGATATATACGGAAGCAAAGAATTGTTTATGAGTGAATATCGTAACCTTTTAGCCGATCGTTTATTATCCCAATTGGAATTTAATCCAGAGAAGGAATTACGTAATTTAGAATTGTTGAAATTACGTTTTGGCGAACCTCTATTGCACAATTGCGAAGTTATGCTCAAAGATATAACCGATTCAAAAAGAATCAATAGTCACATACAAAGCGATCCCAAATATAATGAAAGTATGATCAATTATTCTTTCACGTAAAAATTCAACATATTAATTAATCTTTTGCTTTTCGTGGCATAGGTAAGCAATTTGATATTTCTTCGCTTATCATATCGGCGCAATTTTGGCCTTCGTTTAATAAGGAAACGGTAGAATTGCCTGAAGAAATAGCCAATGAATTTAAAAAGTATACCAAATCATACGAAGACTACAAGGGCAATCGTACATTGAATTGGAGAAGCGTTACTGGCCGCGTTAACATAGCTATTGAAATGGGTCAACGAACTTTGGAAATGACGGTAGCTCCCATGCTAGCGGTGATAATTTATCATTTTCAGAATAAAAGTAAGTTTCTAAACTAAATGAAGAAAAATTAAAATATGCGATTAGAATCCGACTTACTCTACAGCTATGACAAGATGTACGTACATGATTATCAAGTCCGTCACTATGATTGGCAACGGTTTTGAAACAATAATTTACGATGATGTAACTGTCTTTGCTATAGAAATTGTGTGACTTTTGAAACTCGCTTCATGCATAAGAGAGTGTATTAGACAACATTGCCATTAATATTCGCGCGCTAACCTTATTTCAACTGTGAATTGCACGGTTTTTTTTTTTTCAATTTTAAAGGAAGGATGTCTGTACTTATACGTTTACCTCGCCTGGAGCTTCAGAGCTTACTAACATAAGGTGTTGGCAGCGACGTATCGACAATTGCTTCTTTGTTTATTTAAGAGGCATTCTAATCTAGACGTAATTAACATTATTATCATTTTAAATTCTAGCTGAATGGTCTTTGGAAGATTTAAGCACTACCGTGAAAATACCCCCTTCAATACTAAAACGTCGTATAGCGTTTTGGCAAAGTCACGGTATAATTCTGGAATCACAGCCGGGCATTTTCAAATTAAATGAGAACGATTTACCAAAGACGCAATTGGACAAAGAGCCCATAAGTGAAATCATAGCCGAAGATGAAGGTAACGAATCAGCTATGGCCAGCGCTAGCGATCAAAGAGAAGAGGAATTACAAGTCAGTACTAGCATACGAGAAACTAAGTAAGATTTTTATTTTTTGTTTTTTTTCCCATTTTGCAGGTATTTTGGTCTTATATTGTGGGTATGCTTACCAACCTGGACTCTTTGCCAATAGAGAGAATTCATCAAATGTTGAAATTATTTGCTACAAATGGTTCGGGTGTTGAATTTACTCAGGATGATTTAAAAGTCTTTTTACAACGTAAAGTGCGAGATCATAAATTAATTTATTCTGGCGGTGTTTATCAGTTGGCTAGATAAAAGCTTAGCAACAAAAATAAAGAAAGAAACTGGAATATATAAATTACTTAATAAATACAATAATTATGACATACACTATAGTAGTTATACATAAATATATATTATATATACGTATGCATATATTTATATATTATGGTTGATGGGCAAAGAACGGGAAGCGCTTTATTCTGTGTCACTCTAGTTGCAAGCAATTTGTGTAACACACATGACATGATGTTTAGCGACTGTCTATAATTGCCAGTTATTTTATTGCTAAATACAAAAATGATGATTGCTTCGTGTAGGTGAGTTTAAGATAAAAATTATTACGATTTTCTACGCTTATGCTGAGCGACACGAAATTAGTTAAATTAGTTATTTAAGGCTGTAAAGTGTTGAAAAATGTTAAAAACAAAAAAAAAAAAAAAAAAACAAAAATACAAAAAGAAAAAGAAAAGAACATTTAAAGTAAATGATAACCAAACGGTTTAAAGCTGTAAAGTTTTAAAATTTTCCTTCCTAAAGCAGTTATTATCTTTCTCTTTTTTATCTCGCCTTCTTTCTATCCATGAAAGAGCGATAAGCTTGGAAGCATTCAACTATAGTTATCGTGTTATCAGGCATTTGAACATTTTGCTTAGTGACGCTAATGCCCATTGAATTGATGATTTGAAGCATACGTTGTATGTTTGTGTGTGCGTGCGTGTGTATATGTTTGTGTGCGTGTGTGTGTGTGTATAAAGGCATGTATAGTTATTTTATTTATTGTTTGTGCTAAGCACCCCCATTCTCTATTTTTATATATATATATCACTAGATGCCTGTATATGAATGTATCTCCATAAGTGTTATGACTTTCAGCTAAGCAAAACAAAAGTGTGATAGAATGCGAATGTAACTGAAAAATGAACAATAAAAAATTGAAGAGCAGCAGCAAGCAGCAGCAATAACCGCAACAACAACCACAATAATAATATATTTATAATCTTGTATCGGTTAGTGCGCAAAATCCAGTTATAAATTCATCCAAATCACATAAAGTATTATAAAGGGTCGGAGAGTCTGATGTTATGTTTTCTCTTTTCTGCGTTTGCTGGGGTTGGTGGTGTGCTGCTGCTGCTGCTGGTGCCATTACGCTGCTAATAAAAGGTGTATCAGACACACACTTATAGATAAACGCCATACATAGACAGATAGACAATACACAAATCGATAAAAAATGTTTCCACAATGAACATAACTTTACATCACATTTAAATTTATTTAAAAAAAAATAAATAATAATAATTAAAAACAAAATATATCGCCTTAATACGTCAAAAAGAAACAAAAAAAAAAAAATATATAGAAAAAGTGTTAAATAAAAAATGGACTCAAGTCATCATGTAACGGTGCCGTTACGTTATGGTATTAAAAAAATGCGTAAACGTCGCGATTTAGATGCCTTGCTGGCCCAAAGTCACCAAAAGACGGGTACTTTGAGACGTTGCAACGCAACTCGCGTTGGTGGCAGTGGAGTATACTCACAAGATAAACTATTAAATGCCGCCTCCACTGATGATCAGGAAGATTACAATTGGGTAATATGATTATCATAAAATAGAAGAAAAAAAGAAGAAGAAAATTTGAACTATTTTTCACTTCAGCAACCGAAAATTAAGCAACCTGCTCACCATTGCGGCCATAATAAACAGACGATTTTACGTTTATATATCATTATACTATTCATCGTGATTCTTATGATTTTCGTTGGTTTTACTTATTGGTTAAATTTCAATTTACAACAACAAATCTATGAATATCGTCAAAAAGTTGAACAAGGTCGGAATAAATTGCAAGAGTTCTATATAATTTTGATTATTTTTTTTAAAAGAGTTTTGTTAATTTTTTCCCCTTTAGTTTCAGCTACGAGTCAATTGTTACCGGATACCTTGCAGGCTTGGCACGAAACGTCCACTACCTTAATAAAAAATCAATCACTTATTGTAACGAAAATCTCCGAACTACAGTATTCCGTGCAGGAATTATGGAAAAATTTCACGGAATATCGCCTCTCTATGGAGGCACAAAAAAGCTATGAGAAAGAGGAAAAATTGGTAGCTGATTTCGGTGCTAAAATAGAGGCCATTGCTACAGATGTCGAAAGCATGAAAGATCATTATAATGGCATTAGTGAGAAACAAGAAAACCTACAAACAGTTTTTAATAACTTAAAGGCAAGTGATTATTAAGAAATCGGCATTTGGGGCTTTTTAGTTAATTCTATGATGAAACTGATATCTCTCGCTCTAATCGTACAGTGAAGTGTTTAAAAAATAGTGAAGTAAGCACAATTTCTGAGATAAGAGGTGTTTCTCATCAGACTGATCTTTCGCATTGCTTAACACATTCTAACCTATAATCTATAAATTAACAATAATCCGCCTGGGTAGCCAACTAGGTAAGAATCGCAACAATAAAAGCAGTGTTGGCCGGTTCAAATCTCAATGCGGTAGAGTTTACCTTACTTGCAACTATAGTGGCTGTTGAGTCTACAAAGTCATAACAATCACCGATTCACCGACTGGGCTTAGGCCCATTACGCCGTAGCTATCACCTCCTACTTCTCGTCCTTTCCTCGCTTTTTTGTGATCGTCGCCGTATTACGCAAATAGGCGGAGACGTCCCCTGAGTGACTGATCACGTCAAAGGCAAAAATTGCCCTCCTACAAGGGTGAACTGATGGTCCGCCTGCAAAATCGCTCGCAAAATGGACATTTACGCTTATCACAAAAACTGTTAAAATTCTTGTCTAATCGTCCATCTGAAGATGGGACGCACTATATAGTTTACAATTTTATTTCGATAAATCGTCCAATGGAGAAGAGTACATTTTTGCACTACGGCACTGTTCAAATTTTTGTAGATGCATCTGCTATAGTTTATGAATGATGAGCAAAAACATAACTTTTCATTGCTTCTGAAATACTGTAGGCGTGTCCTTCGACTGATTTGGGCCATTTTCAATATCAAGCAGCGTGCAAGAACTTCCAATGCTTCTGCTAAATTTCAAAACAGATAGCTTCCTTTTTGCCACCATGAGAATGCTTACTACAAACATTACGTAGACGGACAGACGCTTAATATGCTTACATCGATTCAGAATTTGATGCTGCTTAAAAAGATATATATAAGCATATTTTGTAGCGTCGTTGAAGCTTCCTTTTAGGTGCTGCAAACGTTTTAAGAAAACGAATATATCCCTCTTCCTTAGGTGATTAATATAAAAAACTGGTTAGGTTATTGACACAGATTAGGTAATTGTGGTTTCCATTTAACGGACATGTCAACCCTTTGCAGCGTAATTAATCCGGTAGAGCGTACAAGAGAATGGATTTATTGGCTTAATTAACGTAATGAGAACCAATTGAACGTTTCACATAGTGACCGTAAATCGCTTTAATAAAATCAAATATTAAATTTAATGAAATTGAAAGGAAAAAATTGTAAAGTAAATATTTTTTTTTTAACTTTTGAATTTCAGTCAAACTTTAGTGATGGTCTTAAGAATATGGCACAACCGTTGAATTACACAAATGAATTAAAAGGCTTAAGAGCAGATGTCAATAGTAAATTAGACAAATTGGAGCAGAATGTCAGTTTTATTAATGACACGCTAACGCAAAAATCAATTATGATGCAAGAGGAGTTAGTTAAACATAAGGTAAGAAATTCAACAATGAAATGAGAAATGATGTTATTTTCTCTATCATTTAAAGAATAAACTCGATGAGTTATTCGATCGCAGTGCCAATGTAACATCACATGTTACATCGTTAGAGAATAGCTGGCCCGAATACAAGCAAAAAGTATTAAACTTCAGCATTGATATTCCGCGTCTCGATGAAGAGGTTTGTTACTTGAGATAATTTAAAAAAAAGTAATTTGTCAAAATTTTAATCGTTAATCTCAACTGAATATCATATAGATATCGAAATTGAGTGCTAACTATCAAAAATTGGATGTGACATTGCAAAACGTTTGCAAAGAATGTCAAAATTCATACATCGAATCTTTACAACGGCAACAGAGGCAACAGCACAATATTAACAACAACAACAACAACAACAACAATAATAATAATAATAATAATTTTGTTGAAACTATCGCAATAAAAACGGTAAGTTTGTTAATGAATTTATCTAAATTCCCTCCTTATCTTAAACCTTAATAAATATTAATTTATTTATCTATCTAGACAACGAGCACTTTGCGACCTGAAAACACGGTGTAGTATGATTAAGATTTAATTGAAAATTTTACGCGTGTATATGTGTTTATGTGAATTTTTACATTTATTACCATTATTATGTGCATTTTTAGGGGCGGTTAACGAAAAAAAAAAAAAAAAATTTTTATTAATAAATAAGTAAATTTAAATTTATTGATACACACACCACAAAAGCACACAGAATATAATTTCACAAATTTAATTATGATTAACGTTTTGAATTAATTAATTAATTAATTAATTAATTACATGCAACTAATTGCATGTACGATTAAGAGACCGCCAGTAGTTGATAGTTTTATTCTAACGATTAAGAATCATTTGTGATTATTTAAGTATTCTTCTCAATTAATAATTATAAATTAAATTACTAACAATACGTAATTATTGTTTAATTTTGAAACCATGTTCAATCATTTTTAATTTATCCTATATAATTAATTAAATTCTCCCACCATCGAAATTAACCGAAAGGTAAGCGCAATAATGTTTGGATAGAAGTTTAAACTTTACATCAGCATTGAAGCTTTATTCGCATGCCCATGATACACCTTCATCGGATAATTTTTCAGTTTGACATAAATTCAACGGATTATTTTCATTCTCATATATACATATACATATATATTCATCGTGGAGCTTTAACAAAAATAATGACGTCGCCACAAATGAATAATGCAGTGTTGCAATCAATTCATTTGTCTTCCATTTTACAAATTTGTATAAAACTAAGGCAAGTAATTATGAATTTACAATTTACTTAATTCTTCTTATAACCTTTCATTCAATTCAAGTCAATTATATGGCAGCACATAATTATGTTCTAATTTATTTATTTATTTTGTGAATTTAGTCATGCAAAAAAAATGTGAATTCCGAAAGACGACAGTGTGTTACTGGTCTTTTATGCGCAAGAAAACAAGCCTTGCTTCTCCTTCTAAGAAATGGAAGTGGAGCATTTTGTCATAATGTTTGGAATCCTTTAAACTTTTTCCTTTTTAGTTTCTCAGGTCGCCTATATAATATAATCGTTGATATCCAAGTTTCGCTAAGGCATTCTCAAAATTAAAATTTAAAAAGAAATTTTGTTTTTTTGGATTCGTGCTAGAATAAAAAATTCGTGTAAAAAGAGTGCACATGCTCTCATTGACTAACCGTGCTACTTCAAAAATCGTCCAAAAAAATAATTGAATGTATACTCCCGATTAGCGTGACATTCTAAAGCGTTTAAGCCATATCTGCCCTTCTGTGTGTATGTATGGTGTGTGTTGTTGACACTCCCCTGCTCTCAAAAATGAAGATATTGACTTCGAATTTTAGAAGTTTCTGCGCGCATTTTGCGATGGATTAATTTTTCTCAAGATTGGACAGACTAAATAGAAGCTAATATTATTTTCACAACCAGGTTTCGAACTTTGATTGAATTTGATTAACGAAAAGTTGACAACTTCAAAGCAACTAAAAGGCATTCGTGCTTCAAGATAACTTTTCTGTGCTTCGTATCTCATTTGGCGGTTTTCAAGTTGATCAAATAGTCTCTATGTTTAATATTTGCCCTTGCCTTGAAAGCCTAACCAGATGTGGTTCGTAAACCCATCGGGTAATTTACAAGTGATTTTCGGCACACTGCGGCAATTCTGCAAGTGGTAAGTAAGTGGGCCTATAAAAAAGTTCGAGAACCGGATATGATAGTTTGCGAGCGCTCCAAATCTGCCTCTCCGGGCAAGGCGAAGCCTATCATCCATCTCTAGTTATTGAATGGCCCCGCGTACGGTGATAACCATAAGCAAAATGAATACACCTCAAAGGGTTGCACCCAACAATCAACCCTCACAAGCCGTTTGCACCAAAGTACTTTGCAGCGCCGTCAACCCTGCTTGGAAATAATAAAGCACATGCGGTATTAGAGTGATTGGCCTAATCTAATCTATTTGACCATAGGTTACGTTTTAACTTGCATATTGAGGTTTCTTTGAGCAAAGCTAGATCCGCGCTTGGTTTTATAAAGAGGTGGTCCAAAGAGCTTGATGATCCTTACATTACGATAAGGCTGTACATGTATTTGGTTAGGCATACACTCGAGTGTGCCTCTGTTGTGTGGTCTCCTTCATATAGGTGCTACGTAGATTCAATTGAATCTGTTCAAAAGCCTTTATTAAAATAGGTTGCTTCTATTATCCTTACCGTCACTTGAGAAACGTAGATTTGTTCTTGGGGTTTGCTTCTTAATCAAAGTAATAAGTGGCACTATTGACTGACCCGCATTACTTGGTGGGATAAGCTTTAACGTGCCTAACCGCTTCTCTAGGCACTTTATCTTGGTTAAGCTTAGTCAATGTAAATACAATTATTAGCTGTTTAACCCACTCAGAGATGTTTGCAGAAACCTAAATGATGTCTATCACTTAGTCTCATTAACGGCATGTTTAAAGTCTATTTAAGCAACTTTGCTTAATATGCGCCATTAACCTATGTCGTACTTAAACTAACATTTCATTCTTAGTATCTCATTTTTTTTATTTAAAATAATATTGTGTTGTTAACGTGTCGGTTGCCAAGCTTATGCATATTTGCAATGGTTCAGGGGTTCACTTGTACATGCATTTTTTTTTTTTCTCTCTTTTTATTTATTTATACATGAATTATTATTTTTAACTTTTTAATTTATTTTTAACTTACTGTGTTATTATTCTTCTTCGTTTTATCTTCCTTTTTATTGTGTAATAGATTTTAGTATATATATTTATATCTTATACTATATATATTTAGTATATATAGTATAAGATTTTCTTCTAAGATGCACCGAATTCGACTGTAATTTTCTTTAGTTGAATTTCATGTTTAAATGGGTAAAGTGAAAATTAAAAGAAAAAAATTAAAATATACGCAAATGAGTGGAATTCCCCGATTTATGCATAGAGTAAAGGCGCAGTGTATTTTTTATGCAATCCTCTTGGGTTTTTCAAAGTATAATTTATTTTTTATAATATATTTAATGAATTGAAGTGAAGTAAGCACGAAATAAGTTCTCACGGTGAACTCTAACAAAAAGTTTTTAATATTGTTTATTGTACTTTTCAGTTGCTTCTTCAGGTCCGAAATTAATCCATTATTTTTCCATTCAAGCAATATCTTTTTTACACCAAATTTTTGGGAACGTATATTGGTGCAAAAAGAGAAGTAGGTGTGGTTAATTAACTAACTTTCACCTTTTTTCGGTCATTTGTATGATGGAAAATAAGTTCACTATTTTAAATAGCAAAAGGGAAAATGATTTTTCTCCAACAATTTCGCGGAACATTTTCAAGTAGACATAAAGGTGCTTATCCTCGGCTCGGTCCTACACTCTCAACAAAAAAAAAAAAATAGAGAATATTAATAATGACAATTAAGAAAAAACATTTTCGATTTCCCGAAATAGTAAATTCAGAATTCTATTTAAATGTATGTAAGTGCATGTAAATATATTGATTAAAATTTCCGCAACTGAGATTAAGATAGATCTTATAAAGGTTAAGCTCTGCCTGATTCGATGATGTTTATTAAACTGTTTTCGTTTTCTTTTTTGCCTCAATTTTTCTACTTTTTTGCCTACAGTTTCATTTTTATATCCATCACCGAAGGATGAAGAATATATGAAGGTAGCCGACTAAGCGTACATAGAAAATACATTTCCAAATTGTTTATGAGCTGAAAAGTCATATCAATTATATGATGAATGATATAACACGTATTGTGGATGGCATTTGTGGATATAACAAGTATTGTGGATGGCTTAATATCGCAAAATTTCATTCCGTTGCCACTTCGTTTCTCAACGATATTGTACTTTGCTACTAAAAACATTGCGACGGCAACCACGTCAACGTCACAGTAAATTCCATAATATTTCAAAGTTCGTGCGAGCCAAAAAAAGCCTACGCGTGTGTATATGTATTTTGCATATTTTTATATTAGTTTATTAAATGTGCACAGATTTTGGCTATCAGTTCTGGTTGATAAATAAAATAAAATTTTTGTTGTAATAAATTAAAAGCAATTAGAGGCAATATAGATATGGGGCCAAATGTTGCGCGTCCAATTCCAGTCGAAGATGAGGAGCCTGAAATTGCTCCTAAAACTGCTTCCAAGCCGATTGGCGTTAATGCAGTTCTTTTAGGTCCACCTGGCTCCGGCAAAGGAACACAGGTAAGGCAATAAATGGCGCATAGAGTATTTTGCACTTATGTTGGTAGAATAACAGTGTATGTGAAAAGATTAAAATGCAAATAAAATGTAATAAAACGTTACATAATAAAGTTTAATAATTTGCGAAACTTCTCTTAAAATTGATTCCTTATCGTCAAGTGTATTTGGTTGCTAAAAGTTTAGCGGCCGTGAAGCAAGTTTTTTCTAATCAGAAAGCATACTAAACAAAACAAAGTGTATATAACGTTAGCGCGGTCAGTTCAAGGTCATTGAAAGTGGAAGTTTTTTTTCTCATTAAAGAGAAGATGAAGAAGAGCGGTAAGAGCGTTAGATGGCAAATGGCATGGAACTGTTAGGTATGGTAGGAGGCACAGTACTTTCTAAAAATACTAGGAATTCCTTCTTACCGACGAGATTAATCAGTTCCAGGAGTTATTGACAGTGCATAAGTATATTATAAGACGCTTAATTGTCTCAGAAAGTATATTGTACGACCAGAAAAGTATATTGTACGACCATATGGCAAGAAAAGAGTCCTCAATGATATAAGTATTCATATGATATGTATGTTGCTTTCGTCATAAAGGCAAGAGCCGGATCAGGACAATAAAAACCGGTTTTGTTCAATTTTTTGTTAAAGATATGATTTTCTCTCTTATTATTAGGCTCCTTGGTTGAAAGAGAAATTCTGCGTTTGCCACTTATCAACCGGCGACATGTTACGATCTGAAATCAGTTCAGGTTCCCAATTGGGAACCACATTGAAAAAGGTTATGGATGAAGGTAAATTGGTATCTGATGAATTGGTCGTGGGTATGATTGATAAGAATTTAGACAAACCGGAATGCAAGAATGGTTTTTTGTTGGATGGCTTTCCACGCACGGTGGTGCAAGCTCAAAAGGTATGGCAAAGAGAAGAATTTTCAACAAATTGATGCGCTTAATTAAATTGAATTCAACAGCTTGATGAACTTTTGGCCAAGAGAAAGACCTCATTAGATGCCGTTATTGAATTTGCTATTGATGATAATTTACTTGTGCGTCGCATAACAGGCCGTTTAATACATCCAAGCAGTGGTCGCTCATATCACGAAGAATTCGCCCCACCCAAGGTAGCCATGACTGATGATGTAGGTGTTAACCTTTTGTTTTTTTTGTCAATAAGATTTTGTTTTTCTTAAAGTTTATAAATTATTTTAAAGGTAACCGGCGAGCCGCTAATACGACGCAGTGATGATAACGCGCAAGCTTTAAAGAAACGTTTAGACGCTTATCACAAACAAACTAAACCTTTGGTAGACTATTATGCTTTAAGAGGCTTGCATTTTCGCGTCGATGCGGCTAAGAAAGCTAGCGATGTTTTTGCCAATATTGATAGCATTTTTTTGAATCGAAGGATAAGCTCTTGATCGGAATACATCGTTATTTTGGTGTAAATACTTTTGATGTAGTCAATCAATACACAAAAATATTTAACTGCCATAAAGAAAATATCAGAATAATAACAACAACAATGGAAGAAAGAAAGCGAACTTTGCAAAGCGAGCGAGCGTATATGTACAGATATTTTGAAAAATTTTGAAAAATACTCTTAAGACCGGAATATCTTTAAACTTCAACTTTACCTCTTATCGAATACATATCTATATCGTCTACTCATCTTAGGAGACGTGTGTCAATCATTTATCAATAATTCCAATCTTATAAAAAGTGAATAATAATTGTTTTTTTTTTTTTTTTTACTTAGAAATCACATTTATATTCTCCAACATTGCGCTATACTTGTAAACATAAAAGTGGATATTGTGCATTTTATCAGTGAACACTACCGTGTCTTTATACATGTAATAATAATTATAATAAAAAGAAGAAAATTTGAACATAAATTATGCAGACGTGCGCTACTGGCTTGCTCAGTGACAAATATCTAATTAGAGAACAATAACAACATTGTTTCTATCTAAACATTTTTTTTTTGTGTACGATAAATTCATTATGGCTAACCGTATTTCGAAATTATTTCATTTTCTACATGTTCGTATGTTGTCAATCATTTTGGGTTTTTTTTTTTCTGTTTTCATTTAACGCAGTGCTAAACACAAAAGCGCGCAAATGCGAATTAAGAATACGCATTGATTTAAAAATCTGTATGCCATATTTCCGGACGTGCTTATGTCGAGTCGAAATTTTACATTGATTGAAAATGTGTACATTTCGTTTAACGAATAATTCGCCGTTTCAAAGTAGCATTGAGTAGCCTATAAAACAACTTGCTGCCGGTTTCTCAGATAAATATGTCTTGTGTGTAGACGGCGAGATGAATTGTTTTGTTTATCATGATGATGATGATTGCGTCTATTTTTGTCACTTCACTTTCAGATGATGTACGTGAATGTAAGTGTAAAGTTTTAGGAGAGTATCTCTTCTGGATCATTTTGGTCCGTTCTGAGAATAATTCTGTGTTTTTCACACTCGACTTGCGTGCCTCAATTATACATGAGGCATTTCAGTTTTCCCAGCTTTTGCGATGCTGAACGTATCAACAACAGACGAAAGGCGAGCGCATGAGTTCACAATCGTGCGGTCATTAAGGTTATTAAGGGCCTGCATGCTATATACGTATTTGTGTGTGGAATGAAGGGAAGGAGAAACCCAGTGCCCCTAACAATCCTTCGATGATGGATACGTAAATCGTTATTCTTTCTTATGCTATATTGTGATATATAGCGCAATGAAATGTGCGTACGTACATATTTACATGCATTTATATATCGTTTTTTCATCAGCACGACCAACGGGAGATCTTGAGAGTGTAGATGTCCACGGTCTACGTGTAAACTAAATATGTAATAATACTTAATTATGAGCAAATCGGATAGGTGCAGGACTATCTTTCGTTGATCATCTTTTTCTTGACTTTTGCTTTAATTCCTACTACGCACGGCATATCAGAAGATCTTTCTCTCTTTCTCTCTCTTTCCCTTATGTTCATATTTTCATCAAATTCATTTAAGGAATCAGGAGACATGACGGAATGTGTACACTAGGAAAGAAATTAATTGAGAACCCATTCTCTTAGACGGGCGACTAAACTCTGAAGACAGGTTTTATTAAATTTAAATTAAGTTTGAATTGTTCGTACCACTCAGGTAAGTGGCGTACTATGGGCTAATGGGTAACTGATCTAAATTGACCAACTGAAAAATATAACTCGGAACATTTTAGGTAACTTTTGAAGCTTCTCTGCGTATAATGTGAAAATAGATTTTAAGGTACTACTCAAGCCGATTGATTTAATAAAAAACGTAATTCAAGGCAAATTTTGTTTAGGTACTTTTATCTGGCTCTCCAAGCAGTTGGCTAAACTGTGACCTATTTGTGTCAATTGAGGAAAATGTTTTTTTTTTTTTTTTATTATTTTAAAATGCTCTAAGTAAGTGAGATTTTTTTTTTTCATCATCTTAGGCTTGTACTCTTGCTCAGGTGTTCTCAGTTTATTATATAGAAACATATATACATATACATATGTGTACACAAACATATCTCCGTATATGTAAATGAGTCTAAGTATACTAAACATATTAAAATGAAAAGAAAAAAAAAAAAAAAAGAAAAACATTTTGTTTACTATTTTCCTGTTTAATCGTTGTGCGGCCAGCTCAGCATACAAGTATCTACATGTGTGCTACAAGCAAAGACATATGCCAAACAATTCCATATTTTAAAAGCGATCATAATGATGATGATGTTAAGTTTGTTGCTTCCGTCAGTTACAAGGTCATAATTACAAGAATTTTTCAAAATTAAATTTAATTAAAATTTCAAAGGTATCGATGCGCAGAGATTATTACATTTGGAAATTATTAAACGGATTTTCTTTAAATTTGGCGGATATTTGTGTAAATAAAAGAGAAGAAATTTTTATATAAAAATTATTGTGTGTGTGTGTATGTGTGTCTATAGTTGTGCGTTTTTGCGTTTTGTAGATATAGGTTTATTGCAACACACATGAAATTGTTTTAGCCGTCGCAGCATGTGCTGCTGCACCGCCCGGTGTACTATGCTATACGAGGGATTACAACAACACCAAAAAGAACTAACGACAACGCAACTTTGCTGCTATTTATAAAACCAAACTGAAGAACAAAAATAAGAAAGAAAAGATGTTTTTCTTTTACATTTCTTTTGTATCGCTTCTGTAAACTCTTGCAAAACTGCATCAGAAGTAGTCTATCAAACGGATTGTCTGGTCGTTTAATTGTTTAGTGATTGAATAGCGCGCGACAGTTACTTTTTCAAATTTAACGTTAAGTCTCTCGCGTTTTCTCTCTCTCTGTCTGTCTCTCCGTCTCTCGCTCTCAGTTTTTTCGTTTCTCCTTGTTTTTTTGGCTGTTTATTGAACGGTTTGTGATAAAATATATCAATTAATTGAAAGAATCGATTGATCGATCGAATCGAGTGGCACACAATTAAATTCCACGTCTAAGCAACGCGCAGCAGATTACGGTTTTTCTTTCCGTTTTTTTTTTTTTGTACGGTATTCATGCGAGTAAGAAAAATTATGAAATTTTTTTTTTGAAAAAAATTTTATGAAAAAAATGATCTGTTAATTTATTCAACTCAAACGATTAGCGAACGAACATTTTAAAACGAATCGAAGTGCAAGGGAAAGAATTCAAAGAAATTCTTCTTAAGTGAACTCGTGAAAGAAAATATTTTAATAAAATATCAAATTGTTTGAAATTGAAAAGTTTCTCAAGTGCTCAAGAATTCGTGTTACATAATTTTCAAAAAAAAAAAAAAAAAAAAAAAAACATTAATATAAAAAAATTTTTTCAAATTTTTTTTGTTTAAGTTTTAAAGAGAAACATTTTCTTTTTTTTTTTTTTTTTTTTTTTTTTAAAATCAAAAAAAAATTTTATTTTAAAAAAAAAAAAAAATTATTAAAAAAAAAAAACAAAATTATTTTGCTATGTTTACTTATTAATGGATATTAATTAAAAGGCAGTCAAACATGGAAACGGTAAGAAATTTAATGAATTTTTTATTTTTTTTTTGAAAAATTTCATAAATTCTGTCATAATTTCGTTCACAACTCAATTTCTTGCGATTATTTATTATATATACGTGTATGTAGTCATATAGCTGGCTATACATACTTACGTGTATAGTTTTTAATTAAATTTATTTTCGTATTTCTAAAAATTCTTTTAATAAAAATTTCTCTGATGTTTAAGATAAAAATGATCCAATGACACAGTGAGGATTTATTTGTTTCTATCTGTCTTTCTTCAAAAAAAAAAAAAAAAATAAAGGAAAAAGAATACTTTTTTTCGAAGACAAATTTTCGAGAAAAAAAAATGTCATTAGGAATGCATTACCGCTGTTGTTGCTGTTGTTTGAGATTTTTGTAGACCAAAAGTTGAACAGATTTCTTGGGGGCATTTTATTTTTTTTCTCCCTTTTTATTTATTTATTTATTTATTTATTTTTTTTGGTTTATTTTTATGTTTTCTTGCTTTTTACAAAAATAACCGTAAACTAAAAGAAAAAATTATATTCGGCTTAGAGTGAATCTTTCGCTAGTCATCAATCGCTTACTTATTTTTCTTGCCGCTGAAATGAATATAGCGATAGAGAAGCAGAGAGAGAAAGATAGCTCTTATAGTCACAACATGTGGTTCTATACCCCATACCCTATATTCTATATATGGATATGCTGAACAATTACTCTTCCGCAATAAAGTATAAGTATAAAGTGTAAGGAGTCACTTATGTTTGTTGAATTTTTCCCATAAAACTAAGCAAACGATCAAGTGTTTGACCAATAGAGTGCCAAGGCAGCGCTACCAGCTAAATTGGCAATGAGTAGAGTTTGTAACGAGTTCTAATAATACTTTTTCCTTAATAATAATAATTAATTCATATTACTCCGTTTACTCTGCTCTATCATAGGAGTTGCTTAATGGGGTAGACCATAGATAGAACCAAAGCTTCTTGGATGGAACCAAAGCTAGGAGAACAATAATTGCTTGAGGTGGTTATTAAGCATACCCTAAGGTAATTTTGAAAATTATTAAAAAATGGTAACACCGCAACCATTCTCCGCGGCGACCTCAGTTCAAATGGCTCTTTGGCAAGCAACATAACTGGTCCAAAGTTGATTTAAAAAAAAAAAGAAGAAGTTAATGTACATTCTTTTATTAAGTGAAATACGTAGGGTTTTTTGAAAATGTTGATTTTTATGTAGCTAGCGAGTTGTTGAGTGGGAAAGTGCACTTTTCGACCAAAGGAAAGACAAAAGAATCGCATGTGTCTCACTTGGGAATTTGCTTGAGATAGATTTTTTATTCATTTTCTCTATTAGCCTGCGATTGCAAGATCATAAAAGTGCCCTTCCAAGCTCAAATATCTCTCCTCTATCTGTTTTCTTGAAGATTCTACGCTACAATCATCCTGTTTTGCAGCACCCGTCAAAGAACGCTCAGTTTCCTTGATCCGGTTAGCGTTGACTTCGATGCACAAATTGTATGATCCGATATCAATATCATTCTTCAAAGTTTTAATGATTTTTAGAATATTAGTCGTACCGTCATTACAAGTTCATATAGCAACATTAATCGCTACATCCAAGACGTTTTGCTTACGGAAAAACGCGAAATTTCAAGCAAAAAATTTTCAAAGGCTTAAAGCATCCATTAACCAAACAAGAAAAAATTGATTTTTAATGGCTTTTGCTCTATTTAAAAAATATGAAGGTATATTGATGTTAAAGCGTTTTACATTGAGTTCCAAAATTGTTGAAAACTTCAAGTTATAGGCCGGGGTCGCCAGTCTCGCCTCCTATGTAGCGCCTCGATTTTTTTTTTTTTGATATGACCAATCACTTAGGTGGTGCCTCCTATCCGTGGAAGGCGGTTACGATTGGAAAGAAGTGACGAAAGAGAAAGGGACAGGGAGGTGGTGACCGCGGCAAGTTAGTGGATCGGAAAGTGTTATGCGTTAACCGACTAAGCACTCGCTCTAACTACGGCCAAAGTAAGCTTTAGCCAGCGGGGCTTATATGGAAAGGAGAAAAAGTACTCAAAGACTATAGTAATTATATCATACATTCTATACTTCTATACTACAAGTTCTATAAAACATAACCTAATACAAGCCGTCATATATTTTAGTGATAACGTATGAATTTTATCAAAAAGACTTACTTTTTATGAGAATTCTTATTAGAGATGTGTTTAAAAAATTGATTAGCGGAAATGTTTAAAGTTAGACCCTTTTGACACATAAACGCCTATTTTTCGTAAAAATGATTTAATGGGAAGCGTTCATAAAGTAGGTCCATCCAACAACCATTTTTCGTATCTATTTACCAGGTCGACATAACTTCGCTCAGCAATTCTCGTGAAGACATTTTGAAACTTGCAGATTGTTTTCAAGCAGTCACTGCATTTTCAAAAGTATTCGTCGTTGGATCGAAAGGCGTTAGTGTAGTGAATTCCTTCAAAATATACCAAAAATTTGCGACTGCAAAAGTCCATAGCCAAGCATCAAAGGGACAGACAAGCTTGAATGGATTCATAAAACTTATTTTCAGTCGACGACCATAATAAGTAAGCAAATTTAACAAGTGCCGGTCCCCAGAGAATGGTCTGCTTAAAATTTATCCTGATTTTATTCTAAACTTATTATTATTATATGTATGTAAATTATTTAGACCAAGGAAATACATTCTAGAACTAAAAGTAAGATGAGCACTAGCCACTAAGCTACCTTCGTTTTTCTTCTTCTTTTTTTTAAAGACAAATTAGCTGGTTAATTTGGCAGCTTTAATAAACTCAAATATTTTATTGATCTTAAGTTCTACAGGTATTTTCAAGATGTCCATGGGGTAAGATGCTTTGAATATTTGATAGGTTTAGCCTTTCTATACTTTCAAAAACTGTATGTTTAATCGTTAGTGAGATTTTGTCCGCAATCGCCGAACGGGGCGGTAAATTTCTTAACGATCCAGTGACATGTTGCAATTGTAGGCCAAAGTCTGATTCTTTAAAATACTTCAATCTTGATTTTTTCCACGTTGATTGGATATAGAGGTGGAAAGAGAATTGGAATTACATTGTTTATCGTTCAATTTTAACCGGTTTATATACAGCAATAATTTGAGCTTTTGGAAAAAGAATATGCCACAGGGATCTTTACGACCTTTAAACGACGAATAGAGTGGTGGGCCGTTGGCATTAACTGAGGTGTGCGCACTAACGCGGTGGATGGGAACGCATTTTTTAAAACATCAGCAAAAATTTTGCGAACAGTGAGATGCATGAGGCGTATTAATATTTTTCTAATTTTATATTTCTCCACTTTAAATAATGATTCCTGCTTCGGTTCGGTTTTATCGATACCTTTATCATTGCGAGGCAAGCAAGTTGGCATCTACTCCCCGAAAGGTTAATTTTAGATTGATCTCAAGTTGTAAGCGACTTTTCAACACTATTGCTTTCGTCATCAGATGGGCAGGTGGCAAGTCTTCGATGACCTTATAGATCTCGGATCTCGAAATTCCATTCTCTAAATTCCATTGGAAACATAAATTTTCCACGGCGCAATATAACTGCTTATAATCCTGTGAAAAGAAATGAGACCGTAGCAAACACAGGATGGCTTCGTAAAATTCAATATCGAACTCCAGTTTCTAGATCAAAGTTTGCGGAGCTAATCTAGCAAATGGGCTGGCGGCTAAACGAGATTAAATCTCCTTTGATACTTTTTCCTCGTAAGTTAAGTTACAAATGTGTGGAAAATCTTACATATAACGCAAATTTTTACGATAGATTTGGAGGAACTTTCGACTTGCCAGCTGACTGCGAATCGAAGGGGATTTAGTCAGCTCTTTAAATTTGTTATTGCATTAGTGTTAATGTCGATTGTTTATCGTATTTCTTAGGTCACATTTTTCTTATCTTTCGTGCTAGCGATATAAGTCAATTTTAATCATGCTACAAGCCCACACCACACATTTTGTTGACAGCCAGTTGACACTCGCGAAACTTTTCAGCCGTAAAAACTCATTCATCTTTTATGTTTTCTGCATGCGCTTAATGGTGTTTACAATCTTGCTCACCCTTTCTCTTTCTAGATAGCGTTCCTTTAATGTCTCTCTCTCTCTCTCTTTAGTAAGTGATAGAAAGCGAACGCGCATCAGTCACACTTTTAATTACATGGTATTGAAATATTTACTCAAATTTTTTTTCTTTTTATATTTTTCTTTCACCTTCAATTTTAGAAAATTTTTAAAAATCTTTGATTTGCAAACAAACAAAGTATATTTTGCATTAACAAATTATTTCAAGGTAACTAATATTCAAGTAATGTTTGAAATTTTTCATAAAGACCTCATGCGAGAAAAATGTTCACTTTTATCGCTGCTTTAATATTTAACTTGGACGAAATTTTGTCACGTTCTAGCTTCATAGTAAAATAAAAGAATCAATAAAGGAAAAGAAAAAAGAACGAGCGAGAGAGAGAGAGAGAGAGAGGGAGAAAGAAAGAGAAGAGGAGAATAACGAATTGCATCAAAGAAAAAAAACAAGAGAGTAATGTTAGGAAATTTATTAATATGTACACGTTACTCATACGCCGCGTTAAGTGTTTACATTGAAAAGCGCTTAACAGTTTGAGTGACAATTTTAATTTAACACAGCAAGCTGTTATTTACTTTATGTTACTTTACTAAAATATTTACATGAGATAATAAAATTTTCCATTTACGACGGTTTGTTTCATTTATACTTCTTGCAATTAATAATTCATTGAAAAATGCTTTTCTTAATGAAAAAGTAGTCTATTTGCCCATTTACTCCGTATATACAAAAGTAAAAGTTCCTTATATTAATTAAAGGCATGAAAACATACATTTATTAATAAATAATATTGTAAAATAAAAGAAATTAAGAAATTTTATATGAAAACATACATTTATAAAAAAGAATAAAGAAACATTAGATACTAAATAAATTGTAG